GACCAAAAAAAAAAACAACAAAGAAACAAACTATATAATTATATACATTATATATGGCTTTGTATATAATATATACATTTCAAATATATATATATATTTGAAAAGTATGACTTTCTATCTCAGAAGGTGGTTCACACTAAGAAGAAAAATCAACAAGGAAGGGAGGAATTGGATGTTGGAACGGGGTTTGTGAACTTTAGATACTGTGGCCAAGAGGAAGAAAGCCTCACTAAAAAAGTGACAGCTCAGCAAAGGCCTACCAGAGGCATGGGAGTGAGTCAGGCAGGTATTAGGAGGAAAGAGTTCCAGGCAGGAAGGAAAAGCGCTAAGGGGAGAGACTGCCTGTGCTGTTTTGAGAATAGTAAAGAGGTCACTAGGTCATAGAAGTGTGTAGGGGGAAGTGAGCTCTGGAGGCCCTTATAAGGATCTTGACTTTTATCCTTAGTGAGAGCCAGTGGAGGTTTGGCAGTGCAGGAGAGACATGTTGAGACTTAGACTATAACAGGACAACTCAGGCTGCTGAATTGAGACTAGACTGAGTGAGCGAGGGCAGAAGTATGGAGACCAGTACGAGCCTCCTGTGAAATTCAGGCAGAGATGATAAGATGATGGCTTAATTTTGTCTGATAACAATGGAGACGGTAAAAAGTCATTGGATTCTGAATATATTTTGAAGGAAACATGTAAAAAGTGTAAGAGAAAGAAAATAGTCAAAAATAACTCCAAGATTTTTGGAGAATGGAGTTACCAATTTAAGAAAAAATGAACAAACAAACAAAATAACAACCCAAAATTGGGTGGTCAAACTGGGCATGGTGGTGCATGCCTGTAATCCCAGCACTCAGAAAGCTGAGGCAGAAGGATTTCCTAGATGTCCAGGCCAGCCTGGGCAACACAGTGAGTTCAAGGCCAGCCTGAACTACATAATAAGACACTGTCTTAAAAAACCAAACCAGGGCTGGGGATGTAGCTTAGTGGCACCCGTGCCTGCCTGGCAAATGCAGGTCCTGGGTTTGATCCCTGGTACTGGAAAAAACCAAAGCAAATCAACCAACAAAACAAACCAAAATCCTGTGAGTCAGCAGGTTTGGACAGAGGTATAAAGAAGTCAGTTCTGGACATACAGACACTGCCTATTGGATATCCAAATGGAGATATTAAGTAAGGAGCTGGATATGGGAATACGGAATAGAGGGGGAAGGTTCAGGTTGGAGATGTAAATCTCGACTTACCAGCAGACTTATAGCCAAAAGACTAGATAAGATCATCAATGGTTGGATAACAGAAAAGGAGGTCCATGGATGGGGCCCCCAATCCTAGCAGTAGTTCTTGTTTTTTTTCTTTCTTTTTTTTTGGTACCGGGGATCGAACTCGGATTCTCTCGCTTGCACAGCAGGTGGCGAAACCACTGAGCTAAATCCCCGGCCCACTTGTTTTTTTTCTTAATCTCAAAATTTGTTTGCACTATTAAAATTTTTTAAAGATCTCAAGGAGCTCTTGCTTATCTAAGTTTTATCTATCAATATTTACTATACCAGAAATAAAAATTGGACATTTGAAGATATTCATTAATTCATTAAAATAACAGTACCAAACCCATTATATGTTGTTATTATTATTATTATTTTTTGGTACCGGGGATTAAACTTGGTTCCTTGCACTTGCACAGCAGGCGGCAAAACCACTGAGCTAAATCCCCAGCCCTATTTGTTATTATAAATAACATTTTTTAAAGAAATAAAAGCCAGGCATGGTGGTATATGCCTATAACTGCATCACTCTGGGAGGCTTAGCAATTTAGTGAAAGCCTGTCTTAAAATTAAAAAAAACATTTTTTAAAGGGGTAGGGATGTAGCTCAGTGTGAAGGCCTTGGTTCAATCCCCAATACTGGAAAAAATGTTTTCTTTAATAAAAGAATAAAGAATAAACTTTTTGTGCTTGCTTCGGCAGCACATATACTAAAATTGGAAGAATAAACTTTTTAATAAAACAATAAAATTCAAGAAATGTTCTGCATTTTTACAAATCTCTAAGTCTGGCTTTATAAAAGATGACTGGATTCTCAAATCTGCTTTCATATTCCATGTGATGCCATACCATACATTATGTAGTTTGTGGAACACTCTACACCACCAAAAAACAGTAGTGGAAAAGACAAGTAACATTCCAGTATTATTATGCAAATAGTTTTTAGCTCCTTGTTCCCTCAGTTCTCAGGGGTTCCCAGACAATGCTTTGAGAACCATGCTTAACATTTAAGAGGCCGGGAGGATTGAGAAGGCATCATCAAAGGAGATTTAGAAGCTGGTGAGGTTAAAGCAAAATCCTAGAGCCTGGAGCCCTGGAGGTCCAGGAGGAAAATGTTTTGAGAAGAGTGATCAACTGCTGCTGATTATACTAGAGATTAAGGAAGGAGCCTGAGCATTGGTAGGCCATATGGAGGCCATTAGGGACACTGATAAAAGCAGTTTAGGGGAGAGGGGAGTGCTAATGGCTGTTTGGAGTGGGCCACAGCATAAAGGTTACTTCCTCAGTTCACTAAACCCCAGATTAGGTTTTATTTACCCTTATTCTGTTTGTATCACTCCCTTATCTTCCTATTCCCTCCTCCCCTTTTTTTTGGTACTGGGGATCGAACTCAGGACCTTGTCCTTTTGAGGCAGGCAGCAGAACCACTGAGCTAAATCCCCAGCCCTACCCCGCTTTTGTTTATGGTTTATGATTTTACTATCTGTCTCTATTATAATGTTTTAAGTAATGTGAGAACAGGGATCAAGTCAGTTTTACTCAGTGAGTGAGTGTGTGTATGTGTTTTACTGGGGGATGAACTCAGCGCTTTAAAAAAATTCTTTGAGACAGGGTCTCACTAAGACACTAAATTGGGCTTGAATTTGTGATCTTCCTGCCTCAGTCTCCCAAGTGGCTGGGATTATGGGCGAGTGCTACCATGCTCAATTTAGCTTTTATTTGCTTCTTCAGCACACAGCAAGTGCCTGGGACATAACACTCAACTCTTCCCCAGTAAGCTTTTCAGTGTTTCTCAGAAGTAGGGAACTGATTCCTCTCAGTTTAAGCAGCACATTGCAAATCTCTCATCATATTCTGTCACCTGGCCCTTCTTCTTTCACCTTCAAAGCCCCATGCTTGGTTTAATGATCTATTGCTGTCTTGAAATTACTGGAAAAAACCCCACATTTTTTTGTAAGACAGGGTCTTGATCTTACTTATGGAGTTCAGGCTGGGCTTGAACTTGTGATGATCCTCCTGCCTCTGTTTCCTGAGTGCTGGGAATACAGGTGTGTGCCACCATGTCTGGGTCTTTCATGTGATTTTGATGCATAGTAAAATTTGAGAACTACTAGTTTAAAAGGAAAAAATTATGGAGTTTAATGGAGGTAGAAGAATTTGGACAGAATCTTTTTTTTTTTTTTGGACAGAATCTTTAAATTGAGAGGTTAAGGAGTCAAAAATGATTTCCTAACTGGGAGAGAACCCTCCATACTTTACCATTAAAAAAAAATTTGGGTTTTTTATGTAGTTCAAGCTGGCCTTGAACTTTTAATAATCCTCCTGCCTCAGCCTCCCAAACGCTGGGACTATAGGTTGCTATCATACCTGGCTTGTTGAAAGTTTTGAACAAGAGGCCTTGAAAATTAAATAGCTAGGGGGCCAGGGATTTAGCTCAGTGGTTCTGCTGCCTGCCTGGCAAGTGTAAGATCCCAAGTTTGATCCCCGGTACCAAAAAAAAAAAAAGCAAATCAAATAGCTGGTCTTGAGTGAAATGATGGATATACAAAATCTTTAAATCTTTTTCTTGTTCCTTCAAATGTTTATGTATTGATTACTATTTTCTGATGTAGCCAGGTAAAGTGAAAGATAGACAAGAGACTACGGGAGTAAAGGCCCTGAAGCCAGGAACAGGATGGGGTGTAGGTGGACAAGAATGGCCTGGTCAAAATTTGCCTTTCTTTTGAAGCTTATGCTCTTTGTTCTACTGCCCTTTGTCAGTCTCTCTCTCTCTTCCTTCCCGTACCGGGATCGAACTCAGAACCTTGTACTTTCGAGGCAGGCACCACTGAGCTAAGTCTGACCCCCTCCCCGTATGCTTTTTTTTTAAATGTTTATTTTGTAGGTTTTTTGAGTGTTCACCAAGAAGGGTGCAAATAAAGTTCCCTAAATGGTCAGAAAGTGGGGGTAGAAGTTAGGTCCCTCAAATTTGGGTGTGTGGAAGAAGGTAACAATGCTAGGCGGGAACACCGCTGTGGGCTTCGTGTTTTGGGTCAGAAGGGCTTTCGGTTTCCCCACATCTGTTGAGTGATGAGACCAGTAGGCGATTTCTAGGGACGATTCCGCCTCACTTTATTTCTTGACGGTGCTGAGGATCTAGTCTAGGCCGTGTACATGCTAGGCAAGCATTCTGCCACTGAGCTATAACCCAAGGGGCTTGGAGGGTCCGACTCTAGTGCCACTGTGCCCTCAACTGTGGAGTCGGCTACCTGGCCTGTTTCGGTAAAGCCAGGGAGCGGGCTTAGCGAACTTTTCTGGGAGTCTGGGAGGGGACACCTGTGCCACTCCTCAGGCGAGCGCGCCCAGGACCACCTGATGCTGTGCCCGACCACCGGGCGCCGTACGGGGGCGAGGCCTGCAGGGGCCGCGCCCCGAGACTCACCTGCGCTGGGCACGGTGACTCACCCACCCTCCCCAACCATCCCCCGAGCTGCTGTTCTAGGAATTACCGCTCCTCCCTCCTCCCTGGGTCACTCCCGGTCCGAGCACCGCCAAGGGCTTGGGATGAAGTAATTCTGGGGTGGGGAGCAGAGAGGGAGAAGGCCTTTGGGGTCCCGGCCTGGCGCGACCGGGTCCTCTTCGCGGTGTGTGTGTGTTGGGGGGAGCGCTCCCGGAGAGACCAGGAGGCGCGGGCGCGGTGCAGCGGAAGGCGCCGGGAAGAGCGCGCCGGTGGGAGGTGCCGGGAAGGGCGGGCGGGGCCCGGGCCATGGGGCGGGGGCGCCGGGCGGCCCATTTCCTCCTCGGAGTCGGACCCGGAGGGAGACAAAGCGACGGCCGACGGCTTCGCGCCTCACGACTCCCCCTGTGTTCGCACTGCTAGCCGCAGGTAACTTCGCACCTCCCTCCGCGTGGGCGCCGCTCCGCGCGGCCGGCCACAGCCGGATCTCGCGGGCCTCAGTCTCGTCAGGGGCGACCCTCCGCCTTAGGCTCCTGGCGGGGGCAGGTCGGGCGTTCCTCACGGGGCCCGGGCTGTGGGTTCGCGCGAGGCGGGCGGTTCCCAGCTTCGGTGAAGTTGGGGGGCCGCAGGCCCCGCGAGGCGGCGGAGCTTCCTCTCGAAAAAGTTTCTCTCAGTTTCTAAACTTTGTTCCAGGCCCTGGGCGCGCGCGTCGGGTCCGGGGTTGCGCCCCTTCGGGGTCCGTGGGCGGGTGCGTTTGAGCGGTTGTTTTCTAGGGAAGTGATTGTTGTCTGGTTTGGTGGCGGAGGCTCCCCTCCCCCTCCTCTCTGCTGAAACTTCCCGGGACGCGGCTCGGACGTTGGCGGAGCCCGCGCGCTTTCCGGCCGGAGAAGACTCGAAAGTCGAGACTCTCCCTTCTCTGACACAGCCTTGTTGGTAAAAGGTGCGCCACATCCGTGCGGACTTGTGGCGTTTTTCGTGTTGACCTTTACTTCGAAATTACTCAGCCCACTTGTGCTGCTTAATTGGGCGCCCATCGCTCGTAGTCCTCCTTTTAAGGAGCGGCACTAGGAGGTATTTTTTGTTGTTGTTGACTTTCAAGAGTGTATGTATGTGAACAACTTGTTGGAAAAATGTCCGAATGTCTAACCCTGGCTTGGCATTAATGGCTTCCCAGTAATGCGGGCGGGGGTTGGCCCGAGGCCAGGATTGACACCCTCATATTCTCCTGAATCTTTAAAAATTATTTTTCTATGTGTGATTTGGCCAGAATTCCCGTAATTTAGAAAAGAGTAGTATGTGTTTAAGTTTCCCACTAAATTAAAGCTATTCCCGTATTTACGATGAAGGAAGTCTTTACGTCGTATTGTTGTGGCAGGATAGGCGTTTGGGTGAGAGGATATTTTGTGTTTAGCAGTAATTTTTAGACAAGTGGGTGTTTCCCTAAGAAACAATTTGTAAATCATATTAGATGTGTTTTATTTTTATTTTTATTTTTGGTACCGGGGATCGAACTCGGTGCCTTGCGCTTTCGGGGCAGGCGGCAGAACCACTGAGCTAAATTCCTGGCCCCAGATGTCTTTTATTTAACAAAAGGAATGAGTAGAGTGATCATCTATAGCCTATGCTCAATTGTTTACCCTTCTTGACTTTTATTACATTAAAAATATTTTTTCCTCTTTTCTGGTCTCATGAATGATTAAAACATGGTCTTTGTCCCTGTGGGCTCACAGTATAATGAAGGAGGCACACAGGTGTAGTACGAGACAGACTGCTCTAATGCTGTTACTGTACTGATCAGAAACTGCTATGTAACGGCAAACAGCAGAAGAAACTTGTGGAGCCATGGAGAGGGGACTAATAAGTAATGCCTTTATTTGAGTAAGTACCGAACCAGCTTCAGGGAGGTGGTGACATTTGAACTGGATGAAATGAGTTGAGTTAGACTCAACAGGTTCAAAATGGTACTCTTTCCTCTTCTGGACCCATATGTGGAGATCCAGAGAAATTGTTCCTGGAATTTCTTTGAGAAAGTAACAGTGTGAGACATGACAGGCAGCTCTGCTTGTTCGAGGTGGCCATGGTGTGTGTGCTGGTAAAAATCTGGCCAGAAGGACCCGAGTCTCCTGTATGTGTAAAGAAGGAGAGACAGGAAAGACTACCAAGTGTTAAAGGCCTGAGTGAGATCTATGTAGCTTGAGAACTGATGGGGTGGGGAAAAGGCCTCACGTGAGGTTGCTGGAGAAGGGAAGACCAAGTCACGGGGGGCCACGTTTGGCTTTTCTAAAGGTGAAGAAGCCACTGTAGGGATTCTCGATATGGGATTCTGTAGGGATTCAAACTCCTGCTAATGCTTGGAGAAGGCTTGGATTTGTATGCTTGGAGAAGGTTGTGACTTTGTATCCTTGTGGCCCTCCTCCTTTCATGATGAGTTCTTAGACCTAGCTCCAAGATACACCATTTTCAAGCCAGATGTGGTGGTGTACACCTGTAATCCCAGCACTTGGGAGACTGAGGCAGGAGGATCACCAATAGTTTGAGGTGAGCCTGGGGCTTCTTAGTGAGTGTAAGGCCATCCCAAACTACATAGTTAGACTGTCTCAAAAACCACACACAGGGGCTGGGGATTTAGCTCAGTGGTTTGACTGACTGCTGCGCAAGTGGAAGGACCCGAGTTCGATCCCTGGTACCAAAAAAAAAAAATCCCACACAAACACACATAAACCCAAAAGATACAGCATTTTCATATTTGGTAGCAAACTTCTTCTTCTTTTTTTTTTGGTACTGGGGATCGAACTCGGGTCCTTGCGCTGGCGCAGCAGGCAGTGAAACCATTGAGCTAAATCCCCGGCCCTTGGTAGCAAACTTCTTGCTAAGCTCTCTACCCCCTAGAGCAGTGATGGCAAACCTTTTAGAGACCAAGTGCCCAAACTGGAATACAGAACCCACTTATTTATTGCAAAGAGCCAACACTGCAATTAAACCTGAATACTGAGGTTTTAGTTTAGAAAAAACAACTGTTAGCTGGTGCTTGGCTGTTGAGGTGACTTGGTTCGCATGCAGACAAGAGAGGGCTCTGTGTGCCCACTGCGGCATATGTGCCATAGATTATATCCACTGCTCTAGGGGATATAACCTATGGGCCTTTGCACCTAACTACAACCTAGTTTGCTTGCTTGCTTATTTATTTATTTGGCAATGTCTCCCTGAATTGCACAGGTGTGTCCTGAATGTGTAGTCCTCCTACCTCAGCCTCCCTCTATGCTGGGATCACAGGCATGGGCACTGTGAGATTATTATAGGCATGACTACTGCACATGGTTCATTTTTTTTTTTTTTTTGGTACCGGGGATTGAACTTGGGTCCTTGTACATGGTTCATTTTTTAAAAACATACTTCCATTGTGCTGTACTTTATTATTGATGTCCCTGTTTGCCTAGAGAGTGCTAGGAAGTAAGTCTTGTAAGCTCCTTGAAGGCTGGAACTGAGCCTTAGATCTTGGCCTGGAGATGCTTATTGAAAGAAGGAAAAAAAGTCTTCTTTCTGGAGGGTAGCTTGTGGGTGGAACAATGGCAGGCTGAAGCAGCAGGTTATGGAGGGCCTGGAGTATCACAATTACTGTTTTAGGCACAGTGAGAACTATCTCCAGCTTTCTTTCTTGAGATCTCATCGGTGATGAAATCCTCTTTACAGTCTGTAATTTACATACCGTCTTGTTTAGATTATCATCTTTGAACTATGGAAAGTACCCTAGTTTTCTGGATAAACTGTTTTGTTGCTTGCTTTGATACATTTTCTATGGTTTTCCTTCTCTTAGACTAGTGGTGGCAAACCTTTTGGAGCTTTCAGTGATACAAACAGCGCGCTGAGCCACATGAATTCGCCACCACTGTTTTAGACCATGTTTTTTTCACTTAACCATCAGACGTGCTCATTTGTTCTTAAAATGTTCTTTAGAACCTGGGTGTAACGGCTTATGTTAGTAGCCCAGCACTCTGGGAGGCTGAGGCAGGTTTGCAAAGTCCAAGCCCAGACTGGGAATTTAGCAATTTAGTAAGACCCCGTCTAAAGAAATAAAAAAATGGCTGGTGATGTAACTCAGTGGGAAGGCCCTGGATTTAATCCCCAGTATCACAAACAAAACACCTTAGACGTCACTGCCTCTGGGTTTTCTCTTGGATTTCGGTATACCTTAGATATCTTGTACATTTATTTTGGTTGCATCATTTATCATGTTTGGTAAGTGTGTGTGTGTGCGTGTGTGTGTGTGTGTGTTACCAGGGCCTCACACACACTAGCCAAGTGATCTCTCACTGAGCTACAACCCCAGTGCTTGGTAAATAATTTTATGGGTGACTTCCTTTCTGCTGTTATCACCTTGGAAGTATAGTCTAGTCTTTTATCTTTAATAAAACTTTTTTTTTTTTGAGACAGGATCTCACGGTATAGTTTAGACTAGCTTTGAACTCACTATGTATCTAGCCTCAAACTTGTAGCAAGCCTTCTGCCTCAGGCTCAGCCTCCCATGTACTGGGATTACAGGTGTGCATCACCATGCCCAGCTGTCTCTAATAATAGTTTTTTTTTTTTTTTTTTTAGTACCGGAGACCTTGCACTTGTCAGGCAGGCAGCAGAACCACTGAGCTAAATCCCCGGCCCTTTAATGAAACTTTTTAAAGTAAAAGTGTAATACACATTGGGCCGGGGATTTAGCCTCAGTGGTTTCACTGCCTGCTGCGCAAGCGCAAGGACCCAAGTTCGATCTCCGGTACCAAAAACAAAACAAAGTGTAATACACATGGAGCAAAGTGCTCAAATCATGACTACCTGTTCAGTGCATTAATACAAAGTGGATGCCATCCATATTCACTGACTAGACCAAGAAATGGCTAATTATTAGCATTCCAGAGATCCCTGCCCTCCTTTACATTTGCTGTTCGACCCTCTGCTATCTTCAGTTTTTAGTCTCAGGATCTAGAACATTATGATTGCTCAATACAGGCATTTTCTTATTCACCAGCTGAGCTATGGTCCTGTGACTAGGTCATTGGATGAATTGGTTGTTAAGAAGTTGTATATAGTATGTACAATATTCAGAACAAAAGAAACTGCAGCTTGATGACTTTCCTTTTATTTGTGTAACTTAAAAAAAAATTTTTTTTTGTAACAACATACAGTACTGTAATGTTTAACAACATAAAATTACAGTACTATATAGTACAGTCATCAAAAATTACAGTACTATATAAGCAAAGTACTGTATAATAAAAACACATTGAGGCTCTATAAACAAGATGTACAAGACTGTACAAAAAAAAAAAGGATGGGTCATAAGTCCGAATGGTGGGTTGTAAGTCTGAACAGTGCACCTTGGTTGTAAGTCCAAACAGTCATTAAAAAAGGTAGGTTGTTAAATGAGGAATATGTGTAAT